TGAATTTTAAGCGATAGCCGACATATAACTCGCTCACGCATGGCACAAGGTTATACAAAAAAAAAATCAAATAATGCTAAACAACAATAAAGATTCTAATTCCTAATAAAATTGGCTATCTTTCTGCATGTTGTTATAAGATTATTATATTATAATGGATTAATGGATGGATATGTACAATGGATAAATGCTATCGAACTGCATATACTGGGATAAGCCAAATGACAAACTGTCGAAACTTTCGAAAAACACTTTGATTTTGCGAATGGGAAATTAGATTTATGTACAGAAATTGTATGAAACTCAATTTGAGTCAGTGCCGGACTCTGCTCACTTGAAATCTGTTACAAATATATTTATTGTTATAATTAAAAAAAGTAGATAAAAGCTTTGTTTTATAGGGTTTTCTTTTCAGCCAAAGCGGATATCATCTACTATAAAACTAAAAAGTAGATTCGAATGAAATTTATCGTAAATACGCCATAAGTAATCCCCTGTGGGTACACCATGGATTACTCTGATGCTATGCAAGACGGGAGTTTATGGTCCTACCGGATGGCATTGCAGTTATAACCTTGACATACTTTAAATGGAATGTCTGTTATTCACTTGGAATACACACATATAAATATATGTAGGTGCATATGGAATTCGTGCATACACATACATGTATATTTCATGAAGGCGTAGTGTATTCGATTTAAATTTATGAAAACAACTAGAGTAACTTCGATAAAAAAAACTGAAATATTAATTGCCCACTCGCGTCGTCTTAAATACATTTGGTACATGGGCATATGTATGATATGTACGGTTGTACATACATACGTGTATGTACTTAAAGCCATGTCAATTGACAAGTGAACAAACAAGGTCCATTATTGCAATATCAAAATTCAATGTTGCGCAATTCCACTTCTCCACTTAGGAAGTAATTGATCAATCGCACTGCCTTTCTACCTCTTTATGTCTGCAAGTGTCTTCCCGATTGCCATGGATGGAGGTGTATACCACTCACCTTCACGCATTGCGATATTTACTTATGTGTTCACATACAAACGAGTCTGCAGATACGTACCTATGTATGTACAATACATACTAGTAAATGCACGTTCGTAAATACAATGATATGTATTAAATGCACACATACATATAATATGTACATGTTTGCATGTTATTTATGTAGAAACGCTTGTAATGTACGAAATAAAAAATGAAAGTTTATAAACAAAAATCAAATGAATACAAAAGCAATAAAACGCGTATAAAAAATTGGGGCCACCATTGACTATGGTACTCACTCCCAGAGATCTCAACGTAGAAATTGAAAATGTATTTGAACTTTAAAACTTTTGAGAGCGCGAGCTATGTATAACTACAACAACAATCTATTACGTATATACACACATTTTTGTATTAGGTATGTACATGCTTATGAACTACATACATACATCCACGATGTAAGATGCAATCAACTAAGTTATAGTGAGCTCGCTAGTCAAGGAGCAGTGATAGCACCGGCAGAAGACGATTAGTGGAGGCAGCGTCAATGATGGGGAGGCCCTTGTTGATATTGAGATTCATTACGAACTGCAATGCGTAGGAAAGCCACCTTTCGTTAGGTTAAATCATTGGTTTTTTTTTTCAAAATCTTGGAGATTCAAAATTAGTTTATATTTTAAAACATTAAGAGCTCCAGATCCTTTTAAATCTTTTTAACTATATTGCTTTTCCCCAAAGATTACTAACAAATAACAGTGTTTCATTAAAATAAAATGAGAAAAATTCCGCATATTGGATGTACCTTAAATGCGATTCGAGGAATCAGCATCGTTTCCTTGATTATTGGGTGATTATTGAATGATACATATCAATTATGAAAGTGTGCTCGAATATTTAAGTGGTATTCGATGTAAACAAAGTGTGAGAAATTGGGAAAATTGGCACTAAAAATTCAAAGATTCTTTTGTGCCTTAATCTTAGATGAGCTTAACGTGTTTGCATATGTAAAGTTTTATTGGTCAATTGTACAAGCAATACAGAACCGAACCACAGTCAAAAGTGAGAATGCCGAGAGAGAGTTGAGAGACTTGCTGTATGTTTTCACAAATCGAGGTATTTATGAGCACAGTTTGGCTGATTCATAGTTTTCCTTATCAATTAATGCCATATTTTGGTTGTGACTCATCGTTGTACATATATGCATACATACTCGTACGTACGTATACCTATTGGCTATTTCTTTTATACCCTACATGAACCCTAAATTGTGTTTCATTTTAACCAAGCAATGACGAGGCATAGAAAGAGAAATGGACTTAAAGATTCATCGGTAGCCCCAGATCGGGTTTCTATACATTTATAAATGTATTGTCGTTCACTTGATCGTTCAAATATATGATTCGGTGTTAAATACTCTTCATTTTCAATAATTTAAAAAGAATTTGGGGCAAAAATATATACACTTCAATTTTTTTTTCCAAATTTCCTCGCTCATCGTCAGGAAATGCCAATAACTCCAAACTTACTTAAACTATTGTTTCTAGACATCCTGACGGTGAGAAGATCGTTTCATAGGTGTTGTAACACCTAAATTAAATTATTATTTCTGCATGTAAGATATAAAGCTTTTGGAGTGGTCTATTTTCATACTTTATTGTATTTGCATTCCTTTGGGTCAGTTCGATGATTAATAAATTCGTTTCCATTGAAGATTTTGATTACACATTTGTAGGTATGTACGTGTGTATACATGTTATATGACACATGATCTTTCAATGGTAAGACATTTCGAAATAATTTTATAAGTCATGATCATGAATACATTTCGGAGGTTTTCCAACATTCCAACCGTACTTTTTTTAAATGTTGCTAATGAAATTTCGTGCGATTGTGTAGACTGCACAAGCACTTACGTGTACATGCATATGTATTTGATATAATATTATATTAACATAGTGGTTTATGCTCGATCTCTGAATCAGGCAAAATATTGGCAATTTTCGAATTCGAAAACAACAAAACAATTTAAAGAGAACCAATATTTTGTTTCGATCATCCGTATGTATTTGCTTACAAAAGTGCATACAACGTGTAAGGCACACCAATTTATTTATGTACATATGTATTATACATATGTACAGTCTTGTATGTTTATTCATAAAGTCACCGAAAAAGATAATGCAATACGTCCATCTAAAAAGTATTCTAGGCAAACCAGCAGAATGTTTGTGGTGTACACTTTTATGCGATAACAGTTTATATACATACGAGTACATACATATGTATGTATGTCCATTCGCTAATGGGAACATGACCTGGCGGAAAGTGAAAATCTTCTTTTCCAGATACAGTTATGCAAAAAAAAGTGTTGAGTTGAACTGAAAAATGGTCCTCAACTGGATTTAATCTTCCTTGGACCAGAAAATAAATCACAAAATAAGTTTTAATATTTTTCCGGACTGACGTTATTCCGACAGGGTGGGAATAATTATAAGTTCGTATATGTGTATGTGCACACATATGTATGTATGTACGTACATATGTAGAGGCAATATCAGAAGATAGCGCAAGTTTTTGGGCTATTCTTCTCTCACTTACATACATATATACAATATAATATACATACATTACATACATATATCTACATACGTAAACAAGTACAAATAGCTATATTTTATTTCGCTTGCGAATCGCTAAATATTCTATGGTATTTTTGCTGAGTTGGTACACTAACCGTCAAAGTGACACGACCCACATACTGGCAGTTATTGCACCACAAGAAAAAATGGAAAATAAAATATTTCTATAACCGCCCATAAGTATGTACGAGCATTTATAAATAGTATGTAAATATACATATGTATATGTATGTGTGTACTATATGGAAAGTGAATATTCCATATGTGCATAAAAACTTTAATGTATTTTTGCACTGAAAGAAAATATATTTTGTAAACAACGATGCATAAGTGTGTACATATACACGTATATACATATATTAAAGAACATATATGTATGTATATGATATTGAGCTTTGATATAGGGTGTTACGCTACGATTGTACATTTGATGGTACTGTGCTGCCTCCATTTCAGCGAATTTTCCCAATGAATTAACTCATTTATACATAAATATGTTTTTTCTTTGCGAATTCCTAACCCATACAAATTTATGTAGGAATGTTACTTACATGTATGTACATATGTATGTTTTGCAGAATTTTCAAAACAAACTCCTCTATAAGGAACAGTATAACGAGGAAGTCTTAAATATGATCAGTAATAATCTCTTTATTTTCTAAATTTTCAGAGAAATTTAATTATGTTTTTCTAATCGCGGTTGCCTCTCAGACAGTAAAAAAGATCTTCATCTTCATAGAATGACCTCGAGATGCCTCCAGTTCTTGAAAAACATCGTTTTAAAACTACATCACAAGTTGAAGGAGGAAGTTTGGCCGAAATCCCGTCAACTATCATAAATCGTCAATATGTACCGAACCTAATAACCATATTTTCTTACTTCTAATTCAAACTTCTGTTTTGCAAATATTCACTGCTTCCTATCTTTATTGTTTATTTATACATATGCATATACATACATACATACAAGTATATAAATATAGTGTTGGCAGAGAAAAGTTTTTGTAGAAAAAATTATAATTTTGTGAAGAAACGAGATGAGCCGAAGAGACAAATCAGTGATGTGAAACATATATGTATGATTTGGTAAGATTTTTTCAAATTTATGGATTATTGTATTTTTTTATTGACTTCGCTAGCGTCTTGCAATTAGCAATTTAATTTGGAGATAATATATCACACATACAACCAAATCAGGTGTCATCTGTCATCTCTGTAGTTAAGAAAATGCATCTGTCAAATAATATTCAAAATAATGAGGGATTTGAGTGGAAGAGAGAAAAATGAAATATGAATAACTGCTAATTTCGAACACGAATCCTCTGCGCAGCTATTTCGAATTTCTAAAAATAAACTCACCTTGAAAAGTTTTCGATATTTCTGCTAATGCTACAGCGGCTGTATATATTTTTAATTTGTCAGAATCTATAGATTCTGAGATTTTACGCTCTGATGCGCCACAGATACTAGGACAATTTGTTAAAAAATTACTGCTGCTCTGCTTCAATTTGGCTAATTTTAAATATGTTGTTGCTTTGTTGCAAATTTGGCACACTATCCGCTGAATATTCGGCTGAAAAATCCGTTAAATATTATTTTTTACTTTCGTTTAATCTTTTACATTATATTATATTCGAATATATATTTTGCATGTGCTAATACGAGTATCTACATATATAAGCACATATATAATTATTTGTTCAATATATAATTATTAAGTGCCCATGAGTTTTCAATGTTCATAAAAACTTTTCTTTAACTTTTTATCATAAATTTCTCTTTCTTATTAAATGAAACACTTATTTTCACTAAGCACATACGTGTACACTAAAATGCCAAAAACAAAAAAAAAAACAGAATATACAAAGTATGTATTTGTTTGTAAAACTGTATGAAATGAATTTAAGATTTTATTTTTCTATGCAACATTTTTTTAATCTTTCATATTGGTTTTAACTAAAATATATACTCTTATATACATATGTATGTATTTGCATATAATCACATTTACGTTACATTCCGTTTACGCACTTTTTTACTCCTTTGTATAGATATTTCGTTTAGTCCAGAAATCAGTTTATTTGTGAATTCTGCATTCAGTCGTTTTGACTTGATCAGAAATTTATTTCGGTTCTTTCGAATTTAGAAGACGACGTTGACTAGGCGACGATTTTCTCTCAACTAAAGAAAATTTGTGAAAACCATTGTGAAAAGTCTCAAAAATACAATGCGCGTTTCTCGCACCAGCCGCGGCATTTTTACCCTCCCCTCCCCTCCCATTTATTGTCGCCTCATCACCACCACGGAACCAATAAACGTTCATTTTAGTATAATATAACATATATATATAATATAACATACATATGTATACCTAAATAAAATGTGAGCTTTATATACAGATACATTTATATACATATATATATATATATGTATTTATGTCTGTACATTTATGTGTAGATAATATTGCAAGAACGATTAACAGAATTAGTGCACTCCCTGAAAGCGACCTGTTTGAGCATACGGGAGAATATAAGAATGCATGTATATGCATATATGTACATGTGTATGTACATATGTAGGTGCAGAAAAACCATTACAAAAAGCAGAGCATGAAAGATATACATAAGTATACGCGTGGCGCGAAATTGGCTCGGCCGCTCGTCCCGCACCCCCCTTTTTGCCTAATTGTGGCTGTCGATGTTCCACATTGCGATTCTTTTATTTATAAAATGCAACATGCATATATTGTGCATACAGATATTTACAGATATATACTTGTATGTATGTACATATGTAAGCTATTACATACGTAAATACAGTAGAATAATTGTTTGTATTTACAAAAATATAAGATCAAATTTACAATTCGCTTTCGTTTCCCATTTGCAACTCTTCTACACGCATATGTTTGTATGTACGGACGAGTACATACATATGTACATATGTATGTATGTACATGTATCAAGTAGTAGCAAACGATCTTAGAAATGTAATAACTATACATATACATTTGTATGTATATACATATGTACATATGTACGGAAGCAGATAGAGGGTACCTCATTCAAAACTCACTGAACAAAAATAAATGTTTACTTGTGCTACAAAATCAATTTTGAGCAAAATTTCGAAGATGTTTTTCTAACTGTTAGTACTAAGGAAGAAGTTTTTGTAACCTCTAACCTCCAAAAAGCAAGCTGAAGTTGAATTACGAATCTTAAATTTAATTTTATCTAAAATCAAACTGTTTTTTCATTTTAAAACTTTCGCGAGCATTTCAGCATATTTTTCGCATATTGAAAATTCTAATTTTGGTCAAATAATGTAACCTTTATTATTGAATTATTGCTGTTTTGCAATGTATTGTTGGCTTGTTGACTTGTTTTCACGTTTTAATATTACCAGAGGTTAGACTTTATTCCTTTTCCGTGCAATGAAAATATTTAAGAATATTTTATATAATCAAATATATATATATTCCACTTTGTAACGTATTGATGTCTTCAAATGGAGGGACCTACAGTTTATAATAAGCCGCCTCCGAACTTAAATTCATTTCAGAAATTTTCTCGGAGGGCTTGAAATTTCCTGCCGAAGGGCGACCGCTATTCAAAACATTGATGTTCTATAAATTTGGATGTTGGTCAAACCAGGACACGAACCCTGGCCTTCCGGATGGCACTACGCAATGCTAACTGCTGACTTTTTGTGGAAATGATCGTTTTTGAATAAGCTTAGGTAATGTCGGTGGCCAAACCAAGAAGGCAGTTTTCGCATGTATTTCATGCAACTGTGTGTCGTTTGCGGGATATTGAATTTTTCTGTGCGCATCAATGTGTTTACATATTTAAATATTGCACTCATTCGTACATACACGTATGTATGTACATACGCACCTAATGAAAATATGAGGAAACATTAGAGCTATCATTCATTTATTTTTGGCACAAAAATTTGATGAAATATTTTCGCATGTATTTACATATGTACATACGTACACACACACACTCGTACATATGTACATACGTATTATATAAACACAGATGTGCTTACTTTAACATTTGCTATAAAATCAGTGTAATTCCGCATTTTATTTGGATTTCAAGTTAGTCCTTTCATGTTGTAATTACTGTACAATGGTATATTTGTTCGTAAGTAGTTATATAAATTATGTATGTAAAGACGAATAGCCGTCAAACTGGATTTTTCCAAATTCAAACTGGGTTTATTTCGGGTTTGCCTTTGACGATTTCTTTTCTCTCCTTTTCGCCAGTACAAATTTAAAAACAAACAATAACAGGCTGTAGGTATTTGTTGCAAAACGAAATTTAAGTCTTTAGCTCATTTCAAGTGCAAAGAGAATTATATTATAAAACGAAATCGACGATAATATTTGTTTATTTTTTCGTACGTTGTTTCACTTTGTTTGCGTTAGTTGTTTGCCCAGACCTCAGGCAAGGTTTTGGCGTAACGTTGTCATTTAGCGAAAGATGATTTTTAAATTCTCTATTGAAATGAAATTCATTATCTTTCTTCATTCTCACTATCACAACTACTTTTCACACTTACACTTTAATTATGAGAGATTGTTTTAAAATGAGAAAACACTTCTGGTTTGTATTTATAAGTAAACAAGAGCACCCGAGTAGATTCAAAGTATAAAATAATGTACAATATTTTTATGTATAGACCGAATCAGCGCTAGTACACACTGCTCTCAATGGCGGTTTGGAAGCGAATGCCGGACGCTTGAGCTGATCGTGCTGATTGCGCCGAATGTGTTCAAGTTGCTACACACACCGGAGAGCACAACACCAATTTAAACAAATGTACGAGTATATATGTATGTATGGGCAGATATACCTACATATACCTGCATATCTCCATATGCCTTTTCTGAACTCCCTCCTACACCACATTCATACATACATACGTGCTTACTTATACATATGTATTTGTGCACGTTCATTTCAAAAATTGCATTACTCCTTGCAATCTTGTAATGTGGTCCAATTGATTCAAAAAGTAGGAAACACATTAGCATCGCAAGCCAAGAGATATAGAGTCGAACTCCTTTTAAATTTTCCAAACCGCCCTTTGTGTTTCGGAGTATTTTATATTCAGAGCCGTGCAAAGCATTGTAATATAAAAAAATATATATTTACCGTGATCTGCGGATCTATTAAATGAAACACATTTGATTTCAGCGGTCAGTTGGCAATGACAAGAAGAATTTCGTTCATCTCAAAGCGATTTTTTCTGGTTTGTCATACCACACTTTCCTTTAATTGAATGCGATTCCAGTAATAAGCGTTTAATTAAAGAACCGGAAAAGTGTAGTGAATTTGAAATATTCTGAATTATTTAAATCGATTCGAAGTGACTTTACTTCAGTGAACAAATGGGCGATACGGTTTTTAGCAATACCGTTTAGAATTGCTGCTGCGAATCTATGACTATGCTATATGCTATACTTTGTAATATACCGGCGTAGTAAAATATTGATAAAAAGATTCTTATAAAAAAATGCCAAATCTTTTCAAAATTTGTTGGATTTAACTTAATTGAGGTCATGTCCCCATAGCACAAAGAACGTTATAATCATCCCACTCTCACCAGCGATACTTGGTTTGCTCCCTGATTCGAAGAATTGATAAACATTTTATGTACATATTAAGATTATCTCGCAATATCCCTCATTGCAAACGACGGGCAATCGCTATTCGATCTATATTCACGTCGAGTATATCGAGTTGTTACTCTCAGTGGGCAGAGTGCAAGAGGAGTAGAAATTTGTTTGGCTGCCTGTTATAGGTGCTGTGTATGACGTCCGTTCTTTACTGCAGGATTTGTATCTACGATGCGTCAACGAAAGCAATTCCACAATACTGGAGACATTTGTTCCATGTATAAAAACATGATTTATTTGGTTCCGATGACAGCCATGCAGCTTGATAAAATTTCTTCGGCTGAAATCTGATGTCACAGATAACGATATTTTTGGAAACGACGAACTCAAACAGCCTCAGTCTTTTAGATAATGTTTCGTCTAATGCTAAAATCGCCAAGCACGGTTTTAATAACGTGATGGAGGCAACGCTCATTGGTGTTTCGAGACTCTGTACCATCCATCGCACTTCTTATGCGGCAGCGAAGCCAACTTTTAGTCGTACAAGGACAGAAAACAGCTGTACAGCAAGTTGGATATCCCCAAATCGAGATTCTGGAATTATAAACAGAGATCGTCATCTCATCAAGCTTACACACAACCACCGAGGTTTCGCCTTCTCGATTTAGCTCGACTCCAAGCGGATGCTTGTTATCTACCCAGAGGACGCTTGGTGTACTTGAATATTATTATATCCAACAAAAGTATCCGCGTGTAAATCGAGTCTTTAAAGCAAAACTAAATTGATTGATAATATAATAAAAACTATGGATATGCCATCAAATTTCAAGGTCGAAAGATATCGGAACACAATCCGCTAAATTAAATAGTCGTAATACTGAATTGAACATCGTAATTCACAGAAATAAACAACATAATTGAGCCGTAAAAATTTGCAATAAATAAAGTTTAAGCCTAAAATGCATTGCCAAATGCGCAAATCTACACTGTAAGGGTCGTTGCGGATTTGCCAGCACTGTCTATTCAAGACTCACCCCAAATCGCCAAAAGCTTTGTATTAAATGAACTTAGTTCGTAAAGTTTTAGGCCAGCTTACCAGAGAATGTTAATATTTATAATGAAAAGGCGCGAATGTTAAGTCACATCAGATTGTTTAGCACGAACAAGACTCAATATTCGACCGGTCGAAATTGAAGACGCGACCCAATAAAGGACTTGCAAAAAGGCAATATCCCACTGCATAGTGCTTTTTTTTGTCATTAGGATCACCTGCGAGCATGGGTATTTACATATGTATGCATACACATAGGATCTTATATATATACATACATATTTATTTAATTAATTAATTTAATTTAATTTTTAATAAATCTTATTTTGTATAATATTATTTTATTTCGTTTAATTTTTTTGGCGGCCGCGTTAGCCAAGTGGTTAGCATTGCCATTCGGAAGGCTCAACAGGAAAAACATTAAGACGCAAAACCACAAATTGGAGGAGGAGCTCGGCCGAAAATCGCTTAAGCGGTTAGAAAGCTCCAATTATATTGTTTTTATTTTTATTTGTTTTATTTACAAATAAGATAACATTTTTGATTTGTATTTTGATGATGTATTTGATTTTATTTAATTATATTTTTTTATTTCATTTTATTTTAATTAATTTTACAGTCTTCTTCTTCTTTATTGGCGTTGGCACTGCTTTTGCGATACTCGCCGAATCAATATTGGCGCGCCAATCATTTCTTCTTTTTGCTGTCTGACATCAGTTGGAAATACCATGTGAAGCCAGATCCGCTCTCCACCTAATCGATCCAATCTTCCTCTGCTTCCACCAGCGGATACTGCATCAAATACTTTCAAAGCAGGAATTTTTTCATCCATTCGGACGACTTGACCCTGCCAGCGTAGCTGCTGTTTCTTCATTCGCTGAACTTAGTCAATATCCTCATATATTGTAGCTCGTACAAATCATCGTTCCATCGTCTGTGGTAGTCGCGGTTGCCAATGCGCAAAAGACCAGAAATCATTGGCAAATACTCCTACTGCCGATTCATCAGATGTTGACATCGTCCATGCTCCCATACCACATAATAGACACTTGTAGAATTAGTCTTCGTTCGCCGAGAGAGCACTTTACTTTTCAATTGCCTACTCAGTACAAACTAGCACCGGTTGGCAAGAGTGGTCCTGCAATGGATTTCGAGGCAAACGTTATTTTTGGTGTTAATACTGCTCCCTAGATATATCAAATTATCTAAGATCGAAGTTATGTGATTATTGTTTCTTTGATGACGGGAGATATTTAATTCCCTTGTTCACTACCAGACACATTCGCTTCGCTTCTTTACCCGGTTTGGAGAAAGTTGAACTCACAGCGTGGTTGTTGAGGCCGATAATGTTAATCGGCATATGCAAGCAGCTGTACACTCTTATAAAACTTTGTGCTTCTGTATTCAGCTCTGCAACTCTAATTATTTTCTTCAGCATCAAATTAAAGAAGCCACACAATAAAAAGTCACCTTGCCTGAAAGCTGGTTTGCATTCGAACAGCTCGGAAAGGGCTTCGCCGATCTTGACGGAGCTTTTGGTGTTGCTCGAGGTCAATTTACACAGCCGTATAAATTTTGCGGGGCTTTAAAATCGACGAAAAGGTGGTATGTGTCAGTCCTCTTTTCACAGGTTTGGCGCACGGTGAATATCTGGTCGGTGGTTGACTTACCAGATCTAAAGTCACACTGATAAGGTCCAATCAGTTTATTAACGGTGGTCTTTGGTCTTTCATACAATACGCTCGACAGGACCTTATATGTGATGTTTAGGGGATGTTTTAGGATTGATGACCTATTAATTTAAATTTCGGGTTCACCTTCTCCGTTTGTTTCATTTTCACTGACATTCAGCAAGAAGGAGAAGTGTTAGCTCCAAAATCGATCAGCCTCAGCCCATTTTGGGATGTTTCGTCGTGGTGGCTGAATTTTCCGTCAGTTGTGTCGAACTTACCTTCCTTGCCCACCCTGCCGTTGAAGTCACCAATCACAATTTTGACGTCGTGGCGAGGGCAGCGCTCATAACTCTACTCGAGGCGCTCATAAAAGCTATCATTGGCATACTTTCATTTCTCATTGGATTTTCTTTTTGTCATTATTCCTCGCAAAGACAAGCGGTTCTTAAAAATACTTTGGTTGTTGTGGATCATGTGGGAATCGAGCCTAAGCTATCACGAAAAATACAAACCATCATCCAACACTCAAACCACTCCAGCTACAAGAACTTTGAGTCATTATCCATTTTGTTAAATATGTAAATATTACCCCATACTAGGAGGTTCTATGGAAATATCAAAGCCAGCCTTGGCTTCAACGAAAGGAATCGGCGACTTACAGAAGGTTTTAAGAACGGAAGGTATACTGAATTTATGTAGAGAACACTTCTCGAGCCTGCTCAACTGGTGAACCCGCACCGATGATGACAGAATAGATATTCAATTAAATAACAACAAAGTAAATCAGAGGGTTTCCCAGCCGCGGGTGCGACAGTTATGTTTATTGAGGTAGAGGGACTGACGTGGAAATGGGCCTTATCACTAAAGACGATTTTTCGATGAAATTTTCATAGTGAATTTTCATAATATCTAAACTTTGTTGAGGAGAGTATCGTTTTAATTTTATTACTGGTGTAATTTTTACTTGTCAAATAGTAAAAAATTTTCATTACAATACGTTTATTTCTAAGTGCACTCGGCCGTCTTAAGGGAATACTGACCGTTCCGAAGATATTTCTGACAAGAAGTGAAAATTCCTCATAATTATCTCTCAGCCGCTCACATGTAAATCTGTAGGTCCCCATTTGTAGAAAACAACGGGACGCACACCACA